CCTTTACTCCGCAGCTCCTCGTCAATTTCTTGCTTCTGAGTCCCAAAAGAAGAGAGGGCATTGCTGCGCAGAAAGGCTCCGGCACCTAAAATGTTGGCTGAGGCCCCACTAAATAGGGCGCCGCTTCCAACAGCAAATCCTGTGTTCCCGTTGTCCTGCCCATTGTTGCGCATGCTAGCTGTCGAAAAGGGGCTGGTCGGGGAAGGGCCAAAGGTACCATTGCCCGCCACCCCGCTGTAACGCCACGCCATTGCCTCTACGGTACCGCACAGCCCAGACCTTCGCCCTCCCCCCTTTTGTAAAGGTGCTCCTGCTGCTCTTCTTTGTTTCTTTGTGTTGCGTCTCCTCTCCGCGTTTTGAATTACTGAGGGGAGAAGGAGGAACCAAAAGAGACTAAGGGCACAAATAAGTAAAAGAGAGAAGAGGCGCGTGTGTAGTGGGTCCAAAAACATCCTACACCCCCACGGAGAGCAAAAACCACAACAAAGAAGCATTATACAAAGAGGCGTCGATCGAGAGCCGTTGTTAAAATCAAAGTGAATGATCGGAAAAAGAAATTAAAAACAAATAAAACAGAGAAACAAAATAGGCATTCCAGCTGTGTTTCTTCCCATTCCTCCGGCGATTTCTTTATCCAAATCCATTTTTATTTTCATTTCTTGCAGCTTCGTCTAACTGAATTTGGCCGTCGAGGAGTGAAGGGCGTCCTTCTAGTTCTTGGAAAACTTCCTGCCCAGTTTGCCCGGTGCGGACTTGCTGACAACCTCCAGCACGTTGTAGCGGATCGTCTTGCTCAGCGGACGGCATTGGCCAACAATCACCTCGTCACCAGGCTTGGGGTCAAAACAGGGGCTGCAGTGCACCGTCAGGCTGCGGTGGCGCTTCTGGTAACGCTGGTACTTGCGGATAAAGTGCAGATAGTCGCGACGAATGACGATAGAGCGCTTCATCTTGGTGGAGTGCACAACACCGCGAAGAATGCGGCCGCGGATGGACACGTCGCTGGTGAAGGGACACTTGCGGTCAATGTACTTGCCGTTGATAGCCGACTTTGGAGTCTTGAAGCCCAGACCAATCTTCTTGGAGTAGCGGATGTGGCCGCTCATGTTGACGTGCTTCTTGTTTGGGTTGTGGCTGTTCTCATTGACCGCCGTCTGACGCTGGTAGGCCTTCTCATGCTGCAGCGTCAGGTCGACGGAGTGCACGCGGGCGTACTGTTCCGGGGCTGTCATTTGCTTCTCGTTCTTTTTTTTAGTTGTTGTTGTAGAAGAAGGGGAAGAAAGAAAAAAAAGAGAAATATGGATGAGTATCCATCATAAAAGAAGCAGTAAATAAAATAAATCGCCATTCTCGCGCAATGGTTATGCACAAGTACCACATCGACGCAACAAACATTTCCCCTCCACTCCCTCGTCCCACTACCAAAAAGCCGGCAGCAAGAAGAACTCACCGCATGAAGATTTTTAACAAAACACGCACACACACATACATACATATATATAAGCAGAGAAAAAACAGCATGACACGTTAATTCACTACTGCCACCATGAGTGGCCTCTCTTCTGCGACTGTCATCGTTCTCCATGCGTTTCTTTCCTGTATTCTGCTTTCTTGGTTTTCCATCTCTCTCTCTGTGTGTGTGTGTGTGTGTGCTCACACTCTTCTTTTCGGCAAAAAAAAAACTTTTCACAACTTTCCTCTTTTTTTTCTTTTCTTTTCTGGTGGGTTTGATAAAACTAAAGGTCAAAAATCATCCGAATGACCCAACTCCGTTCATTCTAAGATGCAATGCACATGTACGTCAACAAGAACAACAAAAGAATGCAAAACTCGATGCATAACAAAACCAAAAACTCACACACACACACACACACGTACATTCCCCTTATATATATATGCCCACACAAACACACAAGACGTGAGTGGGGAAGACAATGCGCACTCTTCTTTTTTAGCGTCTATGCTCTAACTCTACCGTCTCTTCGGTGGCGGCGTCCCCCTGCGCAGCCCTCATCCTTCCCAATGAGGGCGGTGGTGGGGGCGGCTGAAAACGAGTCAACGACGCTTCCCACGATGGATGTGACAACGCGTGGACCCCGTCGCCAGGACTTCTCAATGAATTCTCAGGGGCCGACATGGCGCCATCTTCTCTGTTCTGCAACGTGCCGGGATCCGGAGTCGTCGTACTAGGCGTCATCGGTCGACTGACACTCGGGCCAAAGCCGGGAGAAAAATGTCGGTTCTCAACGTGTTCCAAAGGCCCCACGTGCGCCGCGGTCGTGCCAAGAACCACCTCGTTACCAGAAATTGTGGTACCCTCTCCCTCTCCATGCCTCACACCAGGCGGGGGTAAATTGTATGGCTGAAACCGGTGTTGTTGTTGCTGCTGCTGCTGCTGCATCCCTGGCCCTTCCGATGCATGGTTATATGGCGTTTCTAGTTGTGTTACCTCGTGATTGAGTATCCTTTTGCCTGGATTATTCTTAAGCCGTACAAAAATTGCCACCAACGCGTTCAGCAAAAAAAGAGCTAACGTCATGTAAAAGGATACGCGCAGCTCAATGTACGACGTGACAGTGGTGAAATTATTGGCCTGACGTCGTGTACACTTTGAAAGGTAAAATCGCAGCGACTTATTTTCTTCCTCCACATGCTTCAGCAGTACAATACAAATGATAATGAGGCACAACTCCCAGGCAATAAATAAATCATGCCGAATCACCACAAAATGATGTCGTAACTCTTGGAGTGTCATCCAAAGCCATAGACGATTTATTGTACAGACAACAAAGTTCAACGAGGCGCATGTAAACAACAGACGTATATTTGTTGCACTACGACTAATAAAATAACCCACATTTTCGGTAGATAATGAATAACTGACTTTGCTGAATACAGTCCGTGATCTGTTCACCAAAACACTGCAACCATCCAAAAGATAAAAATTATCTAGATCGAGCAGGGAAGTAACAAGAAAGTTATTCGCCATGGTAGCAGAAGCGGCATTAGATGTACGAAAAATGGCAAAGAGCAAACACGCAAGCTGTACTCCAATGGTGAGCGTGTGGACATGAAGAAGCCACCCCTCTCCACGGGTACGGTGCAAATTGTACGCCCGCTGATCCCTGCCATAGATATTCATTACAAAGGCAAATGCTTTCCCCTCCTACCCACACCCAGTTACAGTAATAAACTGCAAAAGTCTATTCTAACTACCCGTCCTAATGACGCCCCCACACTTTCCCCTCTCTCTCTCTCTACGTGTGTATGTATTTGTACTCAGAGAATAAAAAGGAAGCAGAGGCAGAGGCGGAAGGAGCAGTATTTTCCTTCCGTTACACGCCTCCCCCTCCCCTCGGCTTTTTTAATGGCTCCACTTCTTTGCTGCACGTACTTACAAAAAAAGCCTCTTCCCAATCAAAATACTTTTTGTAAGGACAAAAATAAAAACAACCACAAAAGAAGACGACGCCAAGACCAAACAGCCAAAGAAATAGAGAGAGAAAAAGAGATACATACAAACACACGCACAAAAGAAGAAGAAGAAAAAAAAAAAAAGACAGAAATGTTCAGGCAACAACAACCAACAGTGTTGATAATAACAATAATAATAACACAAAAGTTCGCATAGGTGTTACAGGAAAAAGGCGGAACAGAATGAGGGAAAAATGGGAAAGAAGAAGAAGAAGAAGAAGAAAAAAAAACACGTGTACAGAGTCTTTTATTATTATTATTATTATTATCATTATTATGGTGATAAGTATTATTATTATTATTATTTTTTGGATTCTCCTTGTCCTTTGGAAACATGCCTTCTCTGAGCATTAACTCGAAAGCAAGCAAAGAACAACATGCACACGTATTCTATTGGCATGCGTGCAGGAAACAAGAAATAACTGAGAAAGATGCCGAAGAAAAAAGAGAGAGAGAGAAAAAAAAAAAAAGAAAAAAAGAAAGAAAGAAAAAGAGCCAAGAGGAGAGGAGGAATTAAAAAAGAAATAATAATAAAAGAAGAAAAGTTCGTTTCATTGAAATTGCACCAAGGCGAAGAGATGGACGGCTACTCCCTTTTCTCCCTTCCCCCCTTCGCACCAATGTCGCCACACGTCATCATTTCATCTCATCCCTTCTTTCTCTCTTTTTCTTTTTTTGGTTGTTTTTCAATTTATTTTCCCTTTTTTTCCCCCACCGCTAAAATTCCCTCGTTGCTTCTCAATGTGCCTACAGCCGTGATGCCCCATAATTAAGCAGGCATTGCCTCTCTGCGCCTCATCCCCCCCCCCCCCTCCCAACAACAACAAACAGAAAAAAAAAATACATTAAATAGATAATAAAGAAGAAATAGTCCTCGTTCCCAACTTGTACGTAACCACCACCGTAGCCATATATATATATATATGTGAATGCATGGAAAGCATTTAACGTGCATCTGCAATCCTTCCACCTTCCGCATCTCTTCCCCACCACCGTTTCACTCATCTCCCCTTTTCCCATCCCGTGTGACTGCGCCCGAGCGTGTGGGGAGGAGAACAAATAAACGCGTTGATTTCATCATTTTCTTCCCATTGCGCCTCTCCTCCCATCCCCTCCACACAGGCACACACAAACAGTTTCCTTCCCTTTCCCTCTATTCGCCATTTTTGAAGGAACGATAACAAAAACAACAACGAAAGAGGAAAAAAAAAAAAAAAATGAACAAACAAACACCGGCTGGATGCCTTTAAAAGCAAAACAATTGCAAAGAACAATGAAAGGGGGCGCAACGACGGAAAAAAAAAAGTGCAACGAAAAGAAGGAAACAAGAGTGAGAAGGCGTGCATATAAATAAATATATATATATATATATATACAAAGAAAGGTAGAAAGAAATGGATGTGACTTCCTTTTGCATTTTCTTTCGACCTTTTTCCCCCTTTTTTTTTAGGCACCAATTCTCTCCCACACATGCCGTCCCTTCGACTGCTGCTGCTGGCAACGCAACCCACAACACACCTGCCGGGTGCGTCTCATCACCGCTGCCCACGGCGGTGACATTTCTGTTCCTCCGCGCCCCCCACCCACCCACCCATCTTCTTCGAGAGGGGCAAGGGGCGGGGGCAAAACAAACAGACGAAGTCCCACAAGATGTGCACAAGAAGAGAGACACAAAGAGAACTTGCACGCAAATAACCTCAAAAACACAAAAATAAGAAGAAGTATTGGAATGGCAATTGCAAAACTTCTTTCTTCTTCATCGTCAATACAACAAAGGAACAGGAGAGCAAATAAAAATCCCACTTTTTTTTTGGCTATTCCCGCTGTCTTATCAGACACCCACCCCACACCTCGCAAAATGCATTTCCCTCTGTTTTTTTTTTTTTTTTTTCTATTCTCAGCGCTTGTTCTATTGAAATTTCGCGTCACACAAACTCTTTTCTTTTTGGCTCCATTCATTTTATTCCTCTCCCTTTATCGCTCTTTTCTTTTTTTTCTTCTCTCTCTCTCTCTCCCTCTTTTTTTTTTTTTTCCTCATTCTTATTTTCCAGAGGCCTTAAATCTTACTGATTCATGTACTGGCTCTGGTTAAGTTGAGTGCTGATGTCTGTCAGCTCCCGTACCTGCATCTCGAACCTCTCCTGGAGTTCCTTCATGACGCCGTGATCGGTGTACTTGCGGTTCTCACGTTTAATCTCCTTCTCCTCATCGGTGAGAAAGGCAATCGTCAGGCCCTTCGTGCCAAAGCGACCCGCACGACCCACGCGATGAAGGCATGAATCCGCATCGGATGCCATATCAAACTGCACCACAAGGTTTATACGATCAATGTCGACACCACGACCAAAAAGATCCGTGGCAACAATAATGCGGGTGTGGTTTGATTTGCAGCTCTCATACACACGAAGTCGCTCAGGCTGTTCCATGCGAGAGTGAATGGCCATTGCAGGAAACTTAAGAGCCTGCAGCTGACGGCTGAGCGCCTCGCAACGCTCCACAGAGGATGTAAAAATAATAGCCTGATTGAATTCCACAGCATCAAGAATGTCGCAAAGCTTCCGGAGCTTCTGCGCCTCCGTGACATTCATGTAATACTGTGCGAGCCCATGCAGTGTAAGCTTTGCCCGTTGATCCACATATATCTCCGTTGGGTTGTTCATAAACTTCTTCGCCACATTACGAAGTTCATCGGTCATTGTAGCGGAAAACATCATCACTTGCTTCTCCTTGGGTGTCTTGAGGAATACCGTCTGTACATCACGGCGCATCTTCACATCCTCTAAACAGCGGTCAAACTCATCCACGACAAACCACTTGACGCGCGACACATCGAGAGCCTTGCGCTGAATAAGTGCGCTGAGGCGCCCCGGTGTTCCCACCACTATCGCGGGGACTTCCTTTTTGAGCTGCTTCACGTTTTCGTCCTCTGGGATTCCACCAAAAAAGACACCAGTGGTGCAATACGGCAAATACTTGTTAAACCGCTTGAACTCCTGCTCGATCTGGTACGCCAACTCTCGGGCGTGGACGACAACAATTCCCTGACAATGCGGCTTCTGCCCCTCTGGCACCTTTTCAATTTGCTCCAACAGTGCAAAGACAAAGACAGCCGTCTTCCCCATACCGGACTTGGCCTGCGCAAGAATGTCAGCGCCGAGCATCGCCTGCGGCAATGCCTGATGTTGCACTTCGCTTGGGTGCTCAAAGCCGTTCTCGCGGATGGCGTTGGCGAGTTCGCTCTTGAGACAAAAGTCCTGAAACCCTCCCAGGGCAACGGCACTGTGTGTTCCCATGCCCACACCCATATGTGGCTGTGCGGACACAATCGGCACCTTCACATCATCTCCGTCAAAGTCGGCAAGTCCACTGCTCATTGCTTATGTCTATCTGGTTTCTTAACTTTAATTTTTATTTCTTTTAAGAGACCTTTATTTTTCTTTTTCCCCCTTTTTTCTTTGTTTCTTTAAATAAATTAATCCTCCTTCGTTCTCCTTAGGTGTTGACTCGGCTGGGGCAAAGGACATTAAAGGAAAGCGAGAGGAAAAGAAGGGACAAGATCATGACAACTGGAAAACTGTGGGGAGGGGGGCACATGCTCCCACGTGGTGCGATGCAAACACAAAATAGAAATAAAAATAACAATGGCAGCAGAAAAGAAGATGCACTAACAACTGAACCGCAAAAAAAATTGGATGCAACACCGCAGTAAAAACAGGCAGTCACGAAAGCAACAAAACAATAGTCATGACTACCTCACATGATGATGAGACGCCAAAATTTTTAGCCACTCCATGCACAGCTTGCACAAGAAAAGGAATATATATGTCCGCTTCCTCCAGAAACAGAAATGTGAGTTTCCTTCGTACACCCCCAGCGACTGCCCGGCGGCTGGAAAACACCTGCGCAGCGTGGATGAGGCGTGATGCAACGCACACATATTTGTAGCGGCATTCACCTCCTGACCAGTAGCAGAACGTTGTCCGTACGAATGCACATGCATCTTGAATGAAGCTGCTGCACTCAACTTGCTTGTCAACAGACCCCACTAATCCCTCCAGATTTGCTCAGAGGCACATCGTGACGCAAATAACACCATTTATTTTATGAGTTCACATAAAATAATAATAATTAATAACAATAATTTCCGTCACTCGTTCAACGAGAGACCGCGTATATCAGATCTATATTTGTTCCTCCTCCAGTCGCTGCTTTGGAACTCTGCATCGAATTAAAAAAAAAAAAACTTGCAAAATTTGGCGGTCCGTCGCCATCGCCGCAGTAAAACCCGAGATTTTCGGAGCCGTTGCCAAATACAGTTCACCCCACCGCCCTTAAACACAACCACACACGCACATACACCCACGGAGTAGATGCATGATGATAGAAGAAAAAGAAGAAGAAAAGAAAGGAGCAGCCAGCGATCATTTAAGCAAACAACAGAAAAAAAAAAAAAAAAGAAAAAGAGCAAGTAAAAAAGAAGTAGCCATCCAAAAAGAAACACATGCAATGAAATTTCCAACGACAAAAAGTTGTGCTGAAGCCCGCAAAATCAACATCACTTCTCTCTCTCCCTCATCTTTAGACCCCCGTTGCGTTGCCTCCTTCCTGGATGCCAACTCACTCTAATACTCTTCCTGTCACGAGTAGTGCAGTGGCGAAGGAAATCCACCCGCATCAACAGAAGAAATCAAACAACAGGTCAACAGAAAAGGAGGAGGCCCAGTGCCCCTTTGTTTTTATATTATATATTTTTCCTTCTCATTGTTCCTTCTCAGCCAAATTCCTCCATCCTCCCCCATTTGGGATCTTCCTATCAATGAGTAGTGACAAAACAAACGGACACGCACTCTATTGCCACCTCTTTTTTTTCTTTTTTTGTTTACTCTTTTTTCCCTTGCAAAGTAGTTTCACCTTCCTTTCCTAGTAGCTCACTCGCACCCCCTTCCGTCCCATAGTACACATCCACATTTCCTCTTTTTCTTCTTCTTCCTTCCTTCCTTTCATAACAATTATGTATATAAGGATATCTGCACCCACCCTTCCTCCTTCTTCTTCTTAAGGCGGTGGATCACGTCGCCATTCAGCCCGTCTTGACCGGATCGGCCGAAGAAGCGGCTTTCTTTGCAACTGCCTCCCGCTCTGCCAGCAGCTTCTGGGTGTGCGCCTCCACCTGGTCACGTAGCGGGCCATTCTCAAATTCCAAACGGCGCAGAAACGCGTCTTTGCCCCAGCTTGCCAGATGGTCGTAGTCGTTCTTGTCCAGCTCCGAGATGTCCTCCTCCAGGAACGCCGGGTCGTTGTAGTAGCCCATGACGTAGTTTGTCAGTATGACAAGGTTGGGTGCCTTGCCCTTCTCAAGAAACTCAGGGCCGAGGAAGGTAAAATACCCCTCCACTCGCTCCATCAATTGCTCTCGAGTAAGATTCTTGTCATAGGGGGCCAAAAACCTCCGCCAGGCATAGTCGTACAGATCCTCATCTGTCATTTTTTCGTGAAGCTTCTGTGTGATGACCATGTAATCTTCGCACCATGCAAGATTCCAATAGTCACGAACACGCGTGCCATTACACATACGAGTGAGCATGGGGTACGTTGGAATATTCATGCTACGGCAAAGATGACGTAAAGACTTCCGACGAATGAGTTCAAACTTAATAAAACCGTCGTACATGTCGGCGGCATGGCGAACCAACTTCGGATCACGCCAGACATCGTTCTTCTCAAATAAGTCATCCCACGCGCGCTCTTGTGTTTCATTCCACGGGTACGCGTGAAAGTCAAAGTGCCACTTGGTGTCGGTTAAATAGGATGGAATACTGCGGTAGCGGTACAAATCCTGAGCATGACGCCATGCCTTGAGCTCCTCAGCGGTACAGTTAAAAGCAGATGGCACCCATGTGTCATTCGCAAGCCAAAAGAGAGCCAAAGGGAGAGCGTAGCCACCAATCACAAGCACAGAGCCAGTGCAATGCACCATGCGCCACATGTCCAACTTGTATCGCATCAACTTCGCTATTTCCTCTTGGGAGACCTCCTTACTAAGCTCCATATCGACCCACATGTTCTTATCTTGTGAGTGGAAGCGCTTATGGTAGTCGGGGGAGAACGTTTCGCTCTGCTCCACAAAGTCTTTGGGCCCATAATTCAGTTGACGATTGTAAATGCGCAACCAAATATCAACTGCCTCCTGTGTCTGTTTGGCAAACAGAGCGAGCCCTGGGAAGAAGTTCCTACAGTTCTTCTTCAACGTCGCCCAGCTACCCTGCATGGTGCCTAGCTGCTTTATTTCCTGCGGTATTCAGTAAAATTCCTTACTGGCTAGTAGCATGAAGGAAAGGAAAGAAAGAAAATCAATAAAAATAAAAATAAGTAAACAAATATATACATAAATGTGATGCAAAAAGAGCATGCATACATAAGAATATAAATTTATGAGGGCCCCCTTCTTGGACTTTCCTCAAACAGGAAGCGTAGCTTGCCACACAAAAATATGATGAAGCCTCAGTGTTTACGCCAAACCAAATTACACACACACAAACACTCACACGCGCACAAAGACCGTTGCTTCTTTTCACCATCCCGTTTTCCCCCCCTCCCCGATTCACCTGCATTATCGTCAGATGCACAGCGTCTAGCGGAAGCGGCATGCTTCACACTACCGCCACAGTCCTCCAAATTGACCCCATTTCATTCACAAATCCCTCGTTACGACTTCATGTTTTTCCTTTTCTTCTATGGCCTTTCCCCCGTTTTTACTCACTCTTCTCATCTCCTGCTGTTGCCGAGAAAATCGCCACGGATTGTTATTTGCCCCTAACCCTGCCCTTTCTCGTTATTTTTTTTCCCCGCCCTTCCCCTCTTCTTCTTTGCCTTCCTCCTCCTCCTCTTCCTCATCGACCTGCAACTCCGATAACGCCTCCAGAATCAGGTTGGCATTGGAGAGAGTGAAGTAAAGCAGGGAAAAGCCTATTGTCCACGCCACAACCATCCGTCGCCCCTTTTTGAACAAATCATCAGGTTCAGGCGCTACATTCCCAGAGTGAGCCCCGGCGGCGCATGAGGGCGCCGCCCGTAGTGTGTAAAATGCACTGTACTCTTCAAAGTACATCTGTCGCACCCTTTCAATATATTTCACAAGCGTCGTGCATTCCCCCTGCAGACGCTTCTGCATCTTTACAACAGCAAGGGAAGCGTGATGATTGGCAAAATCGGCATGGAGAAACGACGATGCTGCCGCATACACCAAAGCATCCGCACTACATGGCCGTTCTGTCCCCAAAAAAAAGGTCCCAGGGGGGTTGGAATTGCCAACGTAGAGCGTCTGCAGTGCACGCAGCCCCTTCTCCGCCTCCTCCAGAGCCTCCGCCACACTGGAGTAACGCCCACAGCAGCCACTGCGCTCCAGTACGCCACGGCGGTAGTTCCCAAGAAGCCTCTGCCATAAAGTAGCCACCTTCGGCACAACACCTTTTCGGATCGAGTGGTCAAAAAGATCCAAGTCGCAATGAGTGAGATAAACAAATGCGGGGAGCAACGAATTCACCACCAAGATTTTCACACAGAGTGAAAGATGTCGTTTTTCTACCGGCAGGACATCTTTGTCCACATGAACGCTGTCCTCGATCTGCTGCAAACAAGACGCAACACCGGTCTTCCGAACCACGCCGCCGTTCTCATGGCAACCCACCGCGCTGCCGTCTCTGGTGGGGACTTCAAGCGCAACTGGCAACGGAGCATCACGCTTCACAAAGTGCGCACCCACAAAACGCAGCATGCACTCCACCGCAAGAGCATGTGGATCCGCCGTAGGAATAGCGAAACACGCCGGATAGCGGAAGAGCGTTACGGTTGGCAATTCAGCCATCTCGTCAGTTGCCATCGCGGCTGGGCGGCGGTAAGTACGTTTAATTAACTTACAGACTACATCCAAAATAACATGAAAAAGAAAAAAAAAGTGGCAAAGAAATAATAAAAAATAAAGAATACATGAATATGCATGCACTTGAGTGGATAATTGTTTAGTGAGTTATGAGGCCCAACCAACGTGAGGTTGCGGTTGGACTGTTGCGTTTTTCATCCATCGTCACGATTTCCATTTTTATATCTCCTTCCTCGTTCTTGACTTTAACTTCTCTCTCGTTTTATTTTTTTCTTCTTCCTCCTCCTCCGTCCCTCTTCTTCTTTCGTCCTCATTCCTCGATCCTTTTTTTTTTTTTTTTTTTTTACAAATATCAAAAAGAAGGAAACAAAACAAAAAAAAAAAACAAAAACAAAAAACAAAATAGTAAACAGTAACAGTGGCAACAATAATAATAATAATAATAATAATAATAATAATAATAACTGGTTTTGCAAACAGCTTCTTTCCCCGCAGAATACTTTCACTTACCCGCACACACACACAGAGAGAGAGAGGAAGGGAAAGAGGGAGAGAGGAGGAGGGAGACACTTAATTATTCACTACCCCTCCAGCCCCCCCGCAGACACACACCTGCACCGGTTGCTTTTTATTTTCTTTTCATTTTTTTCTTCTTTTTTTCCTCCACATCGCTCCCTTTTTCACTTCCTCTCCCTTCCTTTTTCCTCTTCTTCTTCAAGAACCACCACACCGCCCACGACCGCCACGTCGTCGCGTCCATGTGTCTTGTTGCTGCTGCTGTTTCCCTTTATTCTTCTTCCTCCCCTCCATCGGAAGGCCGCTCCATGCCTCATTGACCGCTTCCTTCTCCCTCAATCTCTCTGCTGTATGGCTGGGAGGCAAAACTGGAAAAGCGCCCACCCAACAGCGCAGAGCGCATGCCCAATAAAAGTAAAAAACAGTGGCACCGGCACGAGGAACACACACGGAGAAAAAAACAACAACCGTAGGAGAAAAAGGGAGGGAAGGGGGAAGGAAGCGGAGGGAGAGTGTGTGATTGTCCTGCTCCCCCGTGCATGGCCGGCGTCTCTCACAGGGAGGGGAGGGGTCCATTCATACGTAAGCACATATAAAGACACAGATATAGATATATATATGCCCACAGTTGTGTGTATCATGTATACATGGCGGTTTATTGCGTTTCAGCCTCCCCGAAACTCCACCCACTCCCCGCCTTCTTTTTTTTTTTTTGTTGTTGTTTATTATTTCTCTCGCTCAATGACTCACTTTTGTGTGCATTACAAGGCGGGGAAGCACTCACCCCACCCCTCCACAGAAATTCCATAATAACATGAGAATCACACAACAACAACAACAAAAAAAAAAAAAGAAAAAAAACACACGCTTCCAGAACCAATCATCTCAATTAACAACACCACATATTAACATTCATCGCACGTGTTTCAAACATCACGTGAGTCCACAAAAATAACAAAAAAAAAAAAAGGCAAAGCAAAATCACACATATTTATACATGCATATGATATATATATATGTTATATTTTCCCCGGGGAAAAAAAAAAGGCTTTGAATTCCTCAGCTCTTCATTTCCCACGGAAACAATTTTTATTTCCCTTCGCACATCCCACGGCCTCCGTGAGACACCGCCTCCTCACGCCGTATAATTTAATGCTGTCGTAAAATATATGTGTGTTTGACATTTTATTTGCCTCGTCTTCGTATCTGTGTGCAGTTTTTTTTTCTTTTTGTTTTTTTTTTTTGTGGTAAAGAAGCGGGAAGAAAACGAGAATGGCAGGAAGAGGAGGAGGGATGCAGTTTGACTGCAGTAAAAAACCCCACCCTTCCCCACCACCACCACCACTTCTCCCATATTCCCTCCATGCCGTCTTTATGTTGACATTCCTTTCAATTGTTTATTTATTTATTTATTTTTATTATTTTATTTTGTATTGGCCTCCCGTTTGCTCCGCTGAGGCAAAGAAGAGCCGTCATTCAGAAGGATGCATTCCATATGCACACTAAAATACTCCTTTCTTTCTTTCCTTCTGTCTTTCACTCTCTCTTTCTCATTCTCCCCCTGCCACACGTTAGATGACGAATTGTTCACTGCAGCCGGCCCTGTTCCCCTCCCCTTTCCTCTTCTTTGACGTAAATTATTTACCCTTTTTCTTCTCTTCCCCCTCCCCCCACTCCCAGTGGCCCACACATACATACGTACATAAATATAAATATATCTGCACGTCCATACAACGGCGGTTTTTTTTTTATTTCACAATTCATACAATAATATTAATAGTAATAATATTATTATTATCATAGAACCTCAAAAAAAAAAAATAATAATAATAATAATAATTTTCTGCTCTTTGCAGCCGTAGTGGTATTCAAGGCAGCAGAGGCAGCAATGATGATGGGAAAATGGCATCAGTCAAATTTCTGAAAAAAGAAGAAAAAAAAAAAAGAAGGACGGTCCACCCCTCCTCCCATCAGGCACGTCAAATGAGAGCCCAATTCACACCATGTTGTGCGGCGGAATGGAGAAAAAGGAAAAGGAACAACAACAACAACGACTGCAAATAAAATAATCAACAAAATCAAAAGAGGAAGAAAGAACGAACGAACGGAGAAACGACAATAAACAAACAAACCAAAGCGGAATCATCAAAAAAAAAAAAAAAAAAAAAAGAAAAAAAAAAGGAAAACAGGAATACGGGCACATAAACGCACATACGTATATGAAGAAAAAAAAGCTCTGTATATGCATACACTACATACGTATATATATATATATATATAGGAGGACGCCATACCAAACACTTTTGGGACATGAAGTTTACTTGTATTACCCAATAAATGTAATGCTTGAAATGCGGTACGGCAAAAATAAAAATAAAATAAAAAAAAAAATGGAACGGAATGAATGTGTGGTCATAGTAGTAGTAGTGGTAGTAGTGGTAGTGGTAGTAAGAGAAAAAAAAAAGAAAAAGTAGCAAAGAGTTATTCGCAAGCAACCACTCATAAAAAAAGCAAGTCATACCACTCTTATAACATATAATATATATATATAATGTGTTACATGTATATGCATGCACACACATGCATTGTATATATTATATTATATTATATTATATATACACGTATAAAAGGAAAAGCATACATCCGGACATGACAAATGCGAGAGGCCCATCTTCTTCTCTTCCTACTTTCTTCTTCCTCTTCTCCACCCCATGCAACTTCCCTCACAAGTGGCAGCGGGGCTCACCCACTGCGGTAAACCCTGACGGGAGTGCGTGGTGTATTCGGTGGTGGTGGTGAA